GGGACTTCAATTTCGTATGTAAGTACACGAAGAAAAGGTTCATAGGTCGATATCACCAGAAGAGGACGGCCGAACTCTGTTGTACTGTAGCCACTTGGCTTTTATATGACATTCATGTTGACCTATGAATCTTTTCTTCGAGCGCTTTCATATGCAATTAAAGTAGGCTTTATGATTTCATCGAATTTCACATAGTCTTGCTTCCCAGAAAGTTTTCTCAGTCAGACTAGACTGCTGTTTCGACCTCATCAGTAAGCCCAGCGGGAGTCGATCCGTGATGGTGCAGCGTATAAACTTGGCACGTGAACCACCATGCCACACTACCACGAGTGACCTTTGGTCATAGGGGAGAAGTGAATTTCAAGGATTCCTAGGCCTATCCTGGATCATGGGATTTTCGATCAAGCAAAGTTGTATTTGCTATAGCAATTGACTATATTACTTATTTTTCGTCTCATGAGTAGGCTTTCGAAAATGCTAGTAGGTAAGAGACAAGAGTTGTATTCGCCCTCTTTCATTTGAGGTGATCCAACTGCCAGACCTTCATCACCCTAAACGGAATAGAATGAATAAAATTTCTATATCAGATCTGCTGATAGTCTCTATAACCTACTTATAAGTAATGTAGTCGATTGCTATAATAAATACAAATTTGCCTAATCGATAATACCATCAAAGATTGGGATATTGTAAAGGACCTGGCCTTCCTTTAAATTCACATTTGCCCTCATACCCAAGTCTTTGACAAGTTGTAGCTTGGTGCTGAGAATGACAAAACTAACTGACGTTGCAGGCGAAATGTCTGGGAATGTACCAATTCCACGGTCCGATGCAGAGAATTATGATGTCTAATGTAGCAAAGGACTTCGGACAAGGTGCGTCCAACCAAATCCCCATGACAACACGACCAAGTTGCGGAAACGAGGTGATACCACTTGTATACATTGAAAGGAGACTGCGACCAAAATAGAGGCCACAACATCGTGGTCTTAATATATAAGCCTAAACCTACTTTGGGTCACATTTTCGTCTAAATGAAAGAAACTCTGATTGGATCGAAATCTCAATTAGTATTTAGCCACTGAAAGTAAGAAAGCAATATGAGATGCATTCACCCAATTTCGTTTAAGGTGATGAAGGACTGGTAGAAGAAGAAGAATTTTCCCACAATGATATGAGTAGAGCTGACGTCTTTATTGAATTTCACATAACCTTGCTTTCACAAAAGTTGTTCTCATCCAGGGTTGACTGCAGTTTCGACCTCGCATCGGTCTTATCAACACCTCCAGTGGGAGTCGAACCGTGACCCTTGATGAGAACAACTTTTGGGAAAGAAAAGCTATGTGAAATTCAATGGAAACGTCAGCTCTACTCATATCATTGTGGGAAAATTGGTATATCAGTCCTTTATCACCTTAAACGAAATTGAGTGAATACATCTCATATTACTGATTTATTGGTAAACTCAAACAATACTTAAATGCGAAAAATAAAGTAAGAAAGCAGATTTCGTTGTTATCCCCGTATTTTTTTGCTGGAGTGAATACAGTTGTTTGCTGAAGAAAAAAAGTAAAACTGTTCAAAGGTCCTCCTTTTTTCCATATCAAACTCTCTAGACTATTAACATTACAACATCTACATTTGCGCGCATAACTGCATGCATATGGGGATAAATAGATTAAAGAATTGACTTTTGCAGAAAAGTACTTATTGATTACTCTTATCCCGAACTGTAGACGCACTGGCAACTTTGCTCCTAACCTGAACCAGGCTCGGCGACGCTAGTAAGGGCTAATTCGGAGTAATTAACGCAATGAAATTAACAGACTAAATCAGGTTTTTCGATCTTATCAGCTATCCTGATCATGAATAAACAAGGAGGAAGCCTGTTTTGCGTTGTATTTCATGCATTCCAATAGGCGGTTCTGGGGGGCAACGCGTTTGCCCCTTAATTCGCACATCCACAAGTTGATTCCCGCTTGGATGCTGTTGAGACAGTGAGGGGGTAGCTTGCAAACAACCTCGTAATTATGCAAGCCTTGCCTTAAGTGTATATATTAGATACAGAACCATGTCACCTGGTGACTTCCTTGTTCTCATGCGACCTCCTGGAGGCTGAGAAGCATGCTTTCTGCTACCAGCTTCAATTTACATTGCCAGTCCTGATGGTGCCTTTGTTAAGTGAATTGTGAAAAAACATTGTCGGCAAACCAATTAGCTTTACCATAGTTACACTAGGTAGTATGAATAATTTGTTTCAATCCCTTGAGGCGCAGAAAGTAGGTGTGTATGGCTGCAGGCCGATCATGGAAATTAATGAAATCTACTCGCCTTTAAGACATGCACTTCATTCAAATGGCTGGTTTGTCATTTTCCCTTTGTCCTGTTCCGCCGACCGTCTACTGGGATGACCAAAATGAGCTAAGGGATTTGCTACTCTACAACTAGACAGCTAGGCATCAGGTTAGTTTGCGACGTAGCATAGGGGATGTGTACATTAAAAAGGAGATAGACAGATAGATTATCGGATATTTGGACATCAAGAATGTAGAATAGGAAGGAGGCAGATGGCGAAAAGAAAAAAAGGCTGAACAATTATATATACCCGTGTTTGTAATTGGAGAGAGAAAAAGAAAGAGCTAACAAAAAGAGAAAAAATAGGGACGAAAATTATGCATGATGGATGGATGCAGCACTTGGGGATTAAGACAGCATAGATTGGGAGGGGGAAAAATAGAGGTTGATGCACATTTATGTATTTTTATGTTTACATTTATGTATAGGTGAATGCCTAGGTTAGATAGATCAAAGTGCAAATGGATAGATAAAGAGACAGGTGGGTGAACAGTAGGAAGGTGTGTTGTCCTACGTGTTAGATCCTCGCTTCATTGGAAGATCCTAGAGCAGGTTTGTTTGGAGTCAAATGCGTTGATGACTTAATGAGCGTCGTTGGGAGAATTGTGTTCTAGGCCTGATGGTTTCTGACCCCAACAGAATGAAGGGAAGACTAGATTTGTCCAGTCAACCTCCCCACGGCTATTCGAAGATGGAGTGTCGCTCCAATCTCGCTTTGGTTTAATCAGCCCCCTCTGCAGCAGCCGAATCCACAAATTCTGTGTTGGGAGGCCAAAGAGTTGCCCTCAAGCCTAATTCCTGTGGTCCTAATGAGTTACAGGCCGGACGTGGCTTTCATGGCGAGGCATCTGAGAAGTGAAGTTCAGATAAGTTGCCGGGGTTAGCATAATATCCATTAAACCAGCTTCCATTAGCATAGCTTGTTTGCCTAAGTTACCGGAGCTATCTCCACCACGTTGCGGCTCTGAGGGGAGCGAAGTTTTGGTCACTTTCACTTCTTTAATGCCACCAGGTCTCATTGTCCTCCCGATCCGGGTCTCGACGGGACCACTCTTGTGGTCCCAGGCTGAAGACGTATTTACCCGCCGTCCCACGACTCTGCCTCTGCTTCTAGCTCTAATTCATGTGCTTCTAGCTTGTTGGCCCAATTGGCTGTGTTTTTGGAGCTCATTTAGTAGCGGCTTTTAGGACACACATCCCAAAAGGTATTTTTAACTCATACTAAAACATATTTTCAACCTCGCTCAAGTGTATCCAGGCCCTTTCCCCACGGGGTTCGAACTATGGATGAATGGTCCGAAGGCAAACGAATTGGCTCGGCACATCGGCCACATGATCCTAGCCTCGTTGAGCCACGTGAAAAGCGTAGTTCTCAAGGCAGATCAGGTCTCTCTAAACTCCCTTCTTTCATTGTCTTTGTAGTTGTGCCTGTCGGATAGATAAACGAGGCTAGAAGTGGGTTGACCGCGTTGTCGCAACTTGGTCCTGTTGTCAGGGCGACTTAGTAGAAATGCGGACAAGGTGTGTTCTACTAAGTCGCCCTGACAACAAGACCAAGTTGCGACAACGTGGTCAACCCACTTGTATAAATCGAAAGGAGACTGCGACCACACCAGTGGCCACACCATATTGGTCGTCATATCTTCTATTAAACAAGGATAGAGTTGTCGACTAGGCGGTAGCTTGCCTGACACTCTAAACCCACATATCCACATTTCAGGTTTCGCTGAGGCTACTTATGTAGAAGCAGCAGTCCGGCCTGGATGTGAAAGGTCTATTTTTGGTCTCGATTTCAGCGCTAAATCAAGACTTCTTTTATATTCATTCTAAAGAGAGTGATCATCAGTGCCTGTAACGCCGAACAGAAATTAATTTCGCTTCGAGGCACGAATAGTCGAATGTGTGCTCCAGATCTCCTCCAGGTAAATGCGAGAAAGACAGATAGACTGACAGCACCGACCAAAAATGTTCCAGCCCTTCTCTTTCTCGTTTTAAGTCAGTTTCTCTGAGCTGACGAGCCGGATGTGCACATGCTAGTTTGCGTTTACATTCCCACTCTGGGCCTCCTGTGCAATTGGACAAAGGTCCCTGAGGCCTGTGTGTGTACCCAAACGCCTGATTCAGGCCTGGAGGGCAGAACAAGGAGCGGAGGGGTAGAGAGGCTTATGCGTCTGGCCCTTAGCTGGTGCTGGTGGTCTCGGCTGTGTTGAGTCACGTGGGCGAAAACAATCCGGTCCATGGGGCTGGGTGTCATGTGTCCGTCTGTCTTGTTGTCTTCTAAAAAGAGCAAAACTAAGCGATAAAAAGACGTCTTTGAAGGGTCATTTATTTAATCGGATGACTCGATTACCAAAACTGCCTAAATAAATCAAGTGTATATTTTAGTGCTTTGGGCTGTGGGAATTTCGAAAGTATTCTGACTGACTGGCTATTTGTATACGCATTAGCAAATAGGGCAGACGAATGCAGTGATCAGCGTTTATATTGGGTTGCTCGGCCCCATGGCGACTGACACAAAGCATGCTTGGTCTCTTTGTTTCTATGCTTCTTTGCCCTCATCCGCTTCCTCCTCCCCTTCGACCTTACTGTAACCTTCCACTTCCTCCTCCATACCTCTCCACCAGCAGTCTCCTGAAGCCCAGCAGACGGTTCGACGACTCATTTGTCGAGTTGCGGCTACACCAATCGTGCCGGTCGTGTCATGAGTCGGCCCCGCGACGCAGAAAAGACCAAGACTCCGGACTCTGTGGCTGCTTACCCGACCTGTCCCAGTCATCAACGTGTCTTGCGATTGGTGTATTCCGGACCTCCTGGAGAAGTCGCCAACCGTCGGACTTTAATTCCGACGCATGGCCAACGTTGAACCTCAGTTCCTCGCGGCATTCAAGGCACCACCCAGACGCTGCTATGCGAATTGTTCAGCTGCCAAGTTCATCTGTGGACCTATTTATTACTTGACTTGGCCAACCAAGACCCCCATCCCAGCCCCATTCGGTCAGTGAAGCAAATTGTCCTATACCCCAAACGATCTGCCAAGATCCTCCATTATGCCTTACGGATCATCAGACCGACCGAGTGTTTTTCGACACTTGTGGACGCCACTCCTCTCCGACATGCCATTCGTCAATAAAAGGAGAATGACGCGCAACTTGTTGTCTAACCTTGGTGCTTCACAATCTTTCACTTCATTTTGCCGACCAGATCTATTTCTGAGCACATGTCTACAAGACATGCTGCTCGTTAGTCGGTTGGTATGTGTGTATGTGTGTATGTGTGTGTTTGTAGGCATATGCCCGTGTCTCTTTTGTTGCTTGCTTAACCAGCTTGATGGCTGCTATTTGCTGTCTGCTTGTCTGTCAATTGATAATTCTTTCTATTCATCTATACATCCACCTATTTGTCTATCCACCTCCACGCTCAGCTCTAGCAATCTGTACGCTATTTGCGTAGATGTGCTTGTGTATTTGTGCGTATGCTTAAGTGTGTCCATATTTGTAAGGGTGTATGCCTTATTTTTGTCAATCTTATAGCTTTTTCTAGACTCTTTTGCGTCTGAGCAAGAGTTAACAATGTATTTTACCCTTCCGGGCATGGTCATATTTGATTTGTGATGCTAATTTACATACTTATAAATGCAAGCATGCATAATTCTGAATGTTATTATAAAAAGTATACAAATGAGTATATATAGAGTTGTAAATAACTACACTAACATGTGTTTTGTTATATTTATATGTATGCGAGTGGATGTGTGTTCTCGTGCGCTTGTGTGTGTGTGTGTGGATGAGCAGATATTGGCTACTTGGCTTAGATAGGGTTTGTGGGGACTTTGCCTATTCTTATTCAAAAACCGCCTAGGCTACATACTTCAGGGTCTCTGATGCTTGTATTTGGTTGAGGCAAAAGTAATGGGAATTAAAAAGCAAAAAAATAAAGCAGTGATTTCATCAGAAAAATGGTTTTATATTCAATCAATAGCTGCTGAAGCCTTGTTAGCCACCGTTGTCTGGCACGCTTGCTCGGGCCTAAAGATACCGTCTCACCAGCGGGTCTTCGGTTGAGAGGCAAAAAGCAATCAATGCCACATTTGGTTTGGTCAGTTGGGCTGCTTCGTTCGCCGTCTAGGGGTTGTTGCGCAGGTGGCAGGAGGTAGGAGACACTTACTGTAGTGAACGATCGAGTTGCGCAGGCCGAGCAGGACGGTGAGCAAGTCTCGGTGCCGCATAGCCACGCGAGTTTTGGTAGCATGCTCCGGCATCACACCGTCTGGTTCTGGTACTGGTTTCGCTTCCGCCTCCTTATCCGGCTTTGGCATCACGGAGCAGGAGCAATCCTCTTGCCTTGTCCGGCCTGGGAGGATTCGTCCAGCTGAGTTGTGTGCCAACCC